GAAGTGAGAGCAAACAGAAAAAGGTAAGCACGCTCCCACGCTGAAAAAACCACACTCCATTGCTATTCATTCTGTTCAAATAAACCCTGCAAACAAACGAGGGCTTTTCTTGTAGAAAAAAAGAACAGAAAAAGCGGTAGCTAATCAGAGCTTTGGCATTGTTGGGGGGGAAATGGCATGGGATTTGATTTTCTGGGTTCTCTGTTTCTTTATCAACATTGCTCTTCTCGCTTCGTCCTTTTATCAGGTATTATAATCTTCTCCCTCCTCTTCTCTTTCTTTCTTTTCCCGTATGTTTTAATTTTTGTTCTGGTACAGTTGCTATCTTTATCAGATCTTGAGGCTGATCATCTCAATCCTTTCGAAGCAACGACTCGGATTAATTCCATTGTTCTCCCAGACTTCCTGCTGCAAGCATTTCTCTGCCTTTCTTTCCTGCTTACCTGGCATTGGTTCATGTTTCTCTTCACTCTTCCCATTACTGCTTATCATCTGATGTTGTAAGTTTCATTTACTTGTTCGCTAAATAAACAACGCATTTAAGTTCATTTACTTTATTGGTCTATTCCGATGAAAAGGTGCACAGATCGTTGATTTGTAATTTTTGATGGTTGACGCAACTTATATGATCTATTGTTGATATACAAGAACAAGATTTGAATCTTGGTAGTATTTTGTTTTAGATCTTAATTTAGATCCTTTCACTAAGGTTTTGTACTTTCTGACGAGTTAGTACTATATTTAGAAAGTTGTGGATTCTATAAGATTCTTTCACCATTTCAGAGAGACAGACGTGTGCGGTTGGGTTAAAGGAAAGTCTTCAAGCAAGAAATCTTGGAAGTGTTTTTTTTTTTTTTTTTGAAATGGTAATTTTATCATGATCCTTACAAGTGATTGGAAAAATAAGTTGACAAGTGATTCAGATAACTTATCTTTAGTATAGTGCTATAGTTATGTCTTGCACTACTTTTTGTAGTTAATTTGTCACTGCATGATGTTTGACTGGTAATTGAATGTTTCAGGTACTTGAACCGAAAGCATCTTCTTGATGTCACTGAGATTTTCAGAGATCTTAATACCGAGAAGAAATATCGTTTTGTCAAGCTGGCCGTTTACTTATTGCTCTTCACTGTAGTTTTGTTCAGGTTATTTCTGAACTTAGTCAATACATTGTTTTTGATTCATTCTAAAATTTAACATTATTATTTCTGGACTGGCTGTGCTTATCCCATGATTTAGTATTTCTAATTAAGCTTTCCCTCTTTGTTGGGTGTAGACTTCTTTCTGCTAGCATATTCTTCTTCTTTGCTTGGAAGTTTGAAGAACTAGACATTCGGACCTCTCTTTTCTACTAGTATTTTAGGAACCATTTGGTCAGTCCTCTTGTCATAATTCAGCACATGCATGTTCCATTTATCTGTTATAGAAGTAGATTGCTGTGTTTACTGTTTACGTGCTGGTATCCCATACATGAATAACATAGCAAGTTTACCGTTTGCATCATGTGAAATAGCTTCCAATGTGTCCAGTATTTCATATTAACTTGCTTATCAGATTTTTGATGTGATTTATTTCTCAAGAGACTTCTGATTGTTTAAGATTCAAGGATTTCATTTTCAAATACTAAACTCCGTTGTTTAACCAGGGACATGTTTATTAGTAAACTTGTGGCTTACCTGCAAGCAAATCTATTTCTATATGTATTCAATGGTTCTGTTTGAATCAATAGGTAAAACAAATGTAGTTCTATACGTATGAAGGATTCTATTTCCATCCAATAACAGGTATCATGTGTCTTTTCATACAAGGTGTCTGTGTGTTTGCTATACATAATGTATCTCCTGAGAACTGCATTTTGAAACTTAATGCAGGAGTTGTTTCTTTATATTTTTTTCCACGGGAAATATCATCTTATAACGTAAACAAACTGAATGAGATAAGTTATTACATTAACCTGCCACTCTTGACCAAATTCCTACAACTAGGACCATGGCATAATTAAGCAGTGATGAAAATGCTGGTGTATCTGTCATTCGGAGGCATTTTGAAAGAAATATGCAGGCATGTTCACACTGGAGACAAGTTAACTATTTCTTCAATTGATGTGAAGATATTGTAGTTCTGTTGCTTGCTGCCTTAAATTATATATATTCTGAAACTAATAGTGGAAAGAATCTAAATTAGGTGATTTGTCACTTTAACAGTGGCTTGCTTGAGCTTTTCTTGAACAAATTCAGCATTACTAGTTGTTACTAGATTGAAAATACAAGGTAGTCGGATGCAAAACGAATGAGAAGAAGAACGTACTGTGTTGGTATGATGTGCGCCATGTGTGGACCTGTATGAATGTTGAACATTTTATGTTGAACATTGTTTCTTGGTTAGTTTGTGATTTAATAGAACTCTTTATCCTTAGAAAATATTCAGTCTACGTGGTTTTCTTTCGCAATTTTCTTTAACTCTTTCTTTTTGCCAACGTGAAGCTTCTATTTGCTTTCCCTCTCTATCTATATATCTGTCTTTGTGCGATAATAACCTTGTATTTGCAGGCTAGTGATATCTGCGTCAACTCTTTACACGATGAAGTCGATGTTTATACATATTGATTTCTGGGGCAGTACTGTCGGTGGCATTTGTAAGCTTGTAATCCGTATTTTCTGATCCATGTGGAAAGTGAAACTTAGATAACCGGAGTAGATGTATAAAGGTGATAGTTTGACTAGTGTTTACTGAATGGTTGTATACACGGGAGGTTTTGTGGACAGTTGTTTCAAGTTTTGAAGAATTATGAAGTGAAAGGAGTGTTGTTGCCTCCCCAATTGAGTATGCCTTTGTTTTTTCATGGCTCTATTGTGTTTCCTTTTGGTTCATTAACCATGTTAAACTGATTGCACTTTCGCTGTTATGTTCACATGTTTATGTTCACATGTTTCCTGCCTCAACTATTTTTTTCCTACATTAGATCATTGACTTGAACGTTTAAGTAAGGATAAATATGATAACTACGCATGAATTTTCATGAAATGTGAAATGTTAAACATGAATTTTGATTTTGTTCAACCATATACATAAAAATTTTATTTTAGTTTAATTGTTTTTATTTTGTTGGTAACCGAAAATGTCACATTTTTCATAACATTTTCGATTAAACCGAAAATATTCAAAAGTTAACATTTTAGATCACGCTCAACCGAATATAATATGATTTGTATAACATTTTCGATTGCGTCCATTCTCTTTTGTTACTTGGCCTTAAATTAGGTCTCCGTAGAACAGAATTTCCCACCAGCTAACTCTCACTGTCTTCCCGTAAGACCCACAAATTATTTTAACTACCTAATGCTCCAATGTTCAAATTTGTGATGGATATATTATTTTATGTTTAAGAAATGAATGTCTATGATTTTAAGAAAAGATAAATTTTTAAAATTTTGAGAAGTAATAATCGATTTTAAATAAAAATATATCAAAAATGTTAAATATAAAATAATTTTAAATTTTCAGTGACGATTACCTTTGTACCTTTGCTGGGAAGGCAAGGAATGTGCTTCATGAAATGTTGAGAAGAATGTGGTGTCCTATAATGCTATGATTTCTATGGATGGTAAACGGGTACAATTTTATGGATTTCGCACCGTACCCGCTCCAATTGAGTGGGATGAGTATAATTTTAGTGGGTAATGAGAGGGTGTGGATTTAGAAAGTGGTACCAATCGCGGGTAGTGGGCGGATGATGGGTTTGAGACCTTACCCGCCCCGCATCCGCTCACCCACTAAATACCCATTAAATTTTGGATCATTATGAATTATGTATAATTTTAAGATGGAAGAGTAATTGATCCTTATCGTAGTCGACTACTTCCGGAGTCGATTGAAGCATTAATGTATGCTCAAAATTGGCTTTGGGTCGATATTAAAGGTAATATTATTATTTAGTATATGTTAGTTGTCAAATTGTGCTTAATTAACTTATTAAAGTTTAGTTACTAACTTATATTAGTTTTGTCTTCTATTATATATGTAGGTAGTAATGAATTTAAATTGGAGCGCTCTTAATTGGAGGAAGTAAAAAATGATGATTGTAATACTGGAGTAACAGATGTCACAAGTATTGCTTGAAATTTGAGAATGTTGTGCCAAAGAACAAAAATATTATGTGTTTGTCATTTATGTTTCTAGGCTTTAATTATATATTTTATTATGATATTTTATATACTTTAAGATATATGTTAACACTTAACTCAGATAATTTTGGTTTATTTTATTATGCTTCTTAATGGACATGTTTGTTTTATGTTTGTTGTTTATGTATAACTTAAGGTTGTTGTCATGCGTGTCTAGCAGGGTACGTCTCCAGTTAGATAGTGGGAGTGGGGTTGGATTTGAGAATGTACCCGTATGAGCGGGTGTGGATTTAAAAAATTTTACCTATCATGAATGGTGGGTGAGTGGTAGATTTAAAAATATTAAATGGGTATGGGGATAGGGGAGGGGGAATCCGAACCCAACCCGCCCGTTTGCCATCTCTAATGATTTATGCGTACTCTCATAGAGAGTTTGCCTCTGAAGCCTTGGATCTTTTTGAATAGATGTTAAGATCGGATATTTATACCTAACATGTTTCTATAAATGTTATATGAGTCCAATTAAATCACATTTTTTCTATTTTCATGATTTAGACTTGGTTTATCTATTGTAATAGGGAATTATCACTCTAAAATTTGTTGGAACGACGTGAGCTAATGCAGATGGTATTGTCCAATGGAAAATCACATGAACAGTCTTAAAAGGAACAATTAACCTAATAAAATTTAGATATTAGGGTGGTACGTTCTCCCTTTTAATTCAACATACATTGTCAATGTCTATAAAGTGTATATGTTATCATTGTTAAATATAATTTTAAACTATTAAAATAATTACACAACCCGGATCATATCTTAGGGCTTCCCATGGCCTGACGTAAATAGCTCATCAGAGCCCAAACATAGGACAACGTCATGGAGAAAAAGCTCTTGTTCTCTACAAAACCAAACAAAATCCCTCCCAAGATTCCCCTCCTCCCTGAATTGATTATCAGGTTTCGGGTTGTTAATCTACCGCAAAGATGACCTTCATCAGCGTGATCCGCCAACGCCTCCTCTCCCGGACCTTCTTCACACGCCACTCCAAGCCGCTGGACTTCTCCAGGCCACCAGGACCGACCCAACGGTTACCTCTTCAACCGGACACCGCCACCTCCTGGGCAGTCCCGCAAATGGGAGGACTGGGAGTTACCTTGCTACGGTACCAGCTTCCTTACCATCGTCATCCTTGGTGTCGGCCTCAATGCCAAGCCCGATCTTACTATCGAGACTTGGGCACACCAGAAAGCCCTCGAGAAACTCGCCGCCGAAATCCTCTTCTTCTGAATGAACTTCAATCTGGGTCTGTTGGGTACGGATCTTTGCAAACTTTTTGATTTTCTGTTGTTGATAAATGTGTAGTTCTAATAAAAAATTGGATTCTTGTTGAAGGATTTCTACTTTTTTTTGTGTTGGATTTGTGCTTTCGATGATGATGGAAGCCATGAACTTATTTGTGATCATAATCTGATGTTTTCTTATTGAGTTTTGATGGATTTTGAGTTTAATTTGCTTAACCAATCGTGTGATGTTCAAAAGAAATTGAAAATATACTGTGGATCATTGGGGGAAGTGTCAAGGATCCTGTAAAGAGCAGTGTAAAGGAACAGTAAAGTAATGCAAAGATTCATTGCTTCATTCCTTCAAACTGCCTGTCCATAGAGATCATTTTGCTTATATATACTAGTCCTAAAAAACAACAATTACAGGTAATATGTGAACTACAATAAACATTTGGGTCGTTGAGAAAAAATGGGGCAGCTTAAGTGGGAGGAAACGCTCACCATTGTTGTTGAAATTGAATGAATGGATTTGTGGAAAGAGCTATAGTTAGAGGGTCAGCAAATTGCATTTCTGTTGGTGTATAGTTGTAATAAAATGAAGATAGTTTCACATATTTGGCTTTGGAATGAAGAACTAGATTTTTCGCCAATGAAACAGTACTCGTGTTGGACTCTTCTATTATTGATTTTAATTTTTAAGCAGACCAATTCAGATGAGGCACCAGTTATACTGTTGTATTCAGCTTCTGTGATGGAGAACGATACATTTTTTTTGGAGCTCTATGAATTAATATTCGACCCAGGAAAAGCACAATAACCGGATTGATCGTCTGCCATCTTGACCACTTCCCCAATCAACATCAGAGAAGGAAGTGAACACCATTGAATGATTAGGGGCAAATAATATACCAAATCCAAAGTACTCTTGAGGTATCTTAAAACACGTTTAATTGTAATGTAGTGATTATGATGAATTAACTAGCGACTAAGACGAGGTCATACATATACTTGATTAATTTGTTGACATGGAAGGTAATATACAAGGTGTTGACAACGTTTTGCACGAATCAAACGATCTTTGTGATAAAAAAGTTATTCTTTGAGGTCTCGGGTTCGAGCACCATAAATATATGGGTATGAGTGTTCAATGTCAAATGGTTGAGAGTTATCTTTAAACATATATTACCTTATACTTATCATATATTTATAAAAAAAATGCTAACATTTTCCTTTAAAATGCTCTAAAAATATTAAACATATGACAACAATTCTCCTCTTTTATCTTTCGATGATCAAAGAGGAACATGAATCAAAGTGTTAACATCAATCATATTAGTTTTCTATAACATCTCTTATAACCCCTCAAACCGATGGAGGTGAGCCGACCCGATCAGAGGAGTCATATTAGGGCCACCTAGTGACCCACAATAAAAATCTTGGAAATATTAAATTTTTTGTTAAAATGTGTAAAATCATAAAACAATTTGTAAATAAATACAAGTTCCATACTCAGTATAAAAAAAATAAGTCAAATATGACCTACATGCCCCCTAATTTCCCTTGTAACGTACTCTTCAACCCAAGCCAATGGAACTCCCATTACAGATGTCGATAGCTGCACTGGATCAATTTTTTAACCTGAAATGGAGAGTAAAAGAGTGAGCTTTGGGAAGCTCAGTAATACAAAACTACCAAGTGATGCTGAAGGACATGTAGATAAATAGAAAAGCATAAAATTTTCCTTATTGATTCAGACATCTACAGGTTTTCGGGATGAGCTGAGGTTCCAATGTTCCAATGGTATTTCTTCGAGCAAAAGACATGAAGACTTCAATTCAGAGGCAATATTCAGAGGACTCAGTTCAGGAGATCGCAATATGATATCTAGTGTGTTCTAACAAAACATAGTAATGTATATATATCCTTAAAAAACATTAGTAGTTTAAAACATATTTTAAAATCACAGTAATACCCTCCAACCGAACACCTCTATGCAGTTTCCTCATAACTGCAACCATAATAACTTACCCTAAGCACACAACAAAGGTGCCACCCTAAGGGTCTTCTAAGGTCCGTAAGGAATTACCAGGACGATCGGTATAAACCTATATAAGGAATTACTAGTTTGACCGAGCTAAACCTGTAAACTCCACCCTACCCATATAGTCCCCACTAGAAATCATATTTAGCAGTACCCTATAATATCAAAATCATAATCCAGTAGTTTATTGTAAAAATGATCATGTAGTTATTTAAATCACATGAATGCCCTCCACTCATACACCTTATGCAGACCCATGATTTACCCAAGGGAGTGCCATGGAGCATGAGAGCCTACCCAAGAATGTTTCTCGGGGCCTCGGAGCCTACCCAAGGGTCACCTTAGGTCCGCAAGGAATTACCATCTCGATCGGTCTGAACCTATATAAGGAATTACTAGTTTGAGCGAGTTGAACCTATATAAGGAATTACTATTTTGACTGAGCTGAACCTTCATACTCCAACCTACCCAGATAATGACCCAATAAAATAATTCAAGTAGTAACCATTAGATCTCATGATCCATAAATCAAGAACGATTATATTTTCCAATGAAAATATGTAATGAGAGAACACATATCATGTAGCCATAGTTCATTATCAATAAAACAAACATCAGTAAATCTGAAAAATCAGAAATGACGTTTTAAAAAAGGTAAAACAATTACATGTCACATAGGGAACACACTAGAGGAATCCAGTTATTCTTTGGAGGTACTTGTTATTTATCAGGTAGGAAACCATGAAACTTTTTTAATTTAATAATATTTTAGAATCAAGATCCCTATAAAAAGGGGTTTGATAGCTAACAAATTCATCAGTCATTCGGGAAGTGATTTATCAAGGTCATATAGTATTCATATATTTTTCAGAGGCACTAAGTAATCAGGGAGGTATTCAAAATATTTTACAGCAGAGTTACTTGAGATTTCAGGTATAGCGGGAATGATTCCATTATTTAGAAAATCAGGGCATTTTGGACATTTGGTTCTTGGAGAATTCTTAGTAATTTAATCTAATAAGAGTGAAATGATGATTTATGGTATTTAAGATTCATGTCAATTTACTAGGATATCGAGTCAACTCGAACTGAACAAATCCCAGCACCATGATACATGTCAACCAGTCAAATCGATGCACTTCAAGAATATTCACACTTTAATACTGTCATCACTAGTCGAACTGATCATTTTCATAATCATCGTTGAATGGATCTTAGGGAGATGAACTAGTATTCCAATGGTATTTATTTTATTTCTGTATTGTAACGGTATCAAGAAATATCGATGTTCTTGATTCATGGTTCAAAACCCTTATGGAAGATACAACATATAAGTTCATGAGCGCTTCCAGACTTATTTAATTCATTCGCTTAATTCTAAGTCATTGAGGGTACTCAGGTCACTTAGTAGCCAAGTTTATCCCGGTCACTTCAGAGTTTCTAGAGTAATTAGGTTGTTTCCATAATTCAGATACATGCAGTACTTTCATTCAGTTCAACTTGGTCATATAATATAGTCATTTCGAGAAATTCACACGTGTTAAGTGCATTTGGCAATTTAGTCTCTGGGTGTTAGCTCAGAAAATAGAAATTATAGATCATTTTGGTATTCATTGTTGATTTATTCACTTCAGAGCTTGAGGGTATTTAGTCATTCCAATACTTGGAGGTACTTTGGGTATTTTACACTTTAGGGGCATTTTGGTCATTTTACACTTTAATCTAGTCTTTCCATTTAATTCATTTTCCTGAATAATTCAAACATAAATAATGCTCCTGATGTTTTAGTCTTTAGCCGTTTGTTGATAAATCAATAATTCTAGGTCTTGTACCTTCTCGGATACTAAGATATGATTATCAGCGTCTTTCCGAACATAACATAAATTTAATAGGTGAATAAGTAGTTTGTCGAATTAAAAATGAATTCTCAGGGTACCTTTCACTATCAGAGTCAGTCCAGTCCATTTCTACCTTATAGGGGTAATTTTGTAATTTCTTAACCATGTGATTCTAGTATTAAACCTTTTAACGAAAATAATTAGAATTTAAAGATTCCGAGGTTTATTACTTTATCGGTTAATCACTGAACCTGAAATGATTCCTTATCAGTCTTCTAGTGTCGTATACGTGTAATCTGACTCTTATTTAGTTTAATTACTTTTTATCGCCTTTAGAACGCCTTTAGAAATATATTAATTACACACATGTAACCAAACTTATTCATCTATGCATTAACCAATGCCAGCATGTTCCATAAAACATACATAAGGTAGTAATGTATTACCTTGATTTCCATGCTCCACCGATCAAATATTTAAACTCCATTTGATCACTCTCAAACTTGATTCCAACGTCCAATAATATGTCGGATACATATAAACAGAAATTACATCAGAAATGGGGCTTAATTGCGGAAACAATGATCGAATCCGAAGGTAAAATCCTTAAAAACAACTTACCAAGATTGAATTTGGGGAAACAGACTTCATATTTGGACTTAGGACATCAAAAAACATAAAATATGAATTTTCAAAATTTTTGACTTTTTGGTCAAATTCAACGGTCAACTATGGCCAAAGTCAATGGGTGGGGTCGGGTCGGGTCAAAGTCAAAGAGCCGGGTCAAAGTTAACGGGTTAGGTCGGGTTGACTCTATTCGGGTCGGGTTAAGTTCAGGTAAAACAGACCAGGTTTAGATCGGGTTAGTCGGGTTCGAGCCGGTCTATACCATTCTAGAAAAAACCAGATCTGAGGGACATGCCCCACGTGCACGCGATGGTGCGTGGGGGTGCGTAGTGGCGGTGATGGGTCGGGGGATAACTGTCGATTACTCCTACATCTTCAATTAGCCAATTACAATCAATATTTAGTTAAACATCAGCCAAAATTAAAATAAAATTAACCAAACTCTAAACCCGAGCTTACCAACATCGACAGTCGGACGAAACTGGCAATGTTGACGAAACCCACCTGTCAGGTTTTAGCAGACGGAGGTGGGTAGTTACTTGGCAGTGGTCATGAGTCAAACCGGGGGCGAGATGGTAAAAAATCGTGAATAATCGAACGGTTGGGGTCTCGGCAGGTTCTCCAATTTCGTGTCGAACAACGGCCTATACGGGTGATCCAAGGGTTGGGTTGGATCACCAGTCACTGCTGAGGTCGAAGGACATGACGGTGCACCTCACTATCGACTA